TCAAAATCTAGTTTGATTAAATTAATTAATATTTTAAGAACGCAAATAATTTTATATAATCTAAAAATCTTGTATTAAATCTTGGGCCATTGGAGAATATTTATTTGGATTAAACATCTTTGAACTGAGATATTTTTAGGAAAACCTGAGGTCGATTCAATAGATTGCCAATTTAAATTTAAATGCAGATTTTTGCCAACCTAATGTAAAAATATCATACTAACGAGTGTATGTATATAAATCGAACTTCCAAAAAATTCTACTGTAAGTGGATAGAGTCCCCAACCTGAACAGATACTGAACACCATCCCGATCCCTCCGTTGCAAATTAAAATTTAAATAAATTAATTGTCACTACAGCAGTTGTCTTTTTAGGTTTTATTCATTTTAACTTTACGCTTTAAACATTTTACAGTTGGTAATTTACATAAGTTGAAAAAAAGAATTGATTGTTTCGATAATATGTTAACCTAAAAAGTACAACAAACAGAAAAAATATTTAACAAATAATTATAGTTGATAATGGAATTACTGAACTGCATTTTAGAGTAATAAGTTTGTAATACTTATTGTATTATGTATAGTTTATGGGTGGCATACACAAAGCCAACTACACACTGTTCACACACGCATACACACAATTTGTCCGCTAAATAATTGATTTAAGAACAGTATTGTTTTTTTTTTAGTTTTTGAGTTGACTTTTTCGCAAAATAAATGGGGCGAAATAACAAATGATGTGGAAGGTTTTCAGACGCTGTTTAGCAATTTAGTAAACGAGCGCTTAGTTATCCTTCTTCATCCTTGTGGAGGTCATGCGGTAGATGATGGAGTCCCGGCCGGGATCCATGGAGCCGATGGCGTAGCAGATGGCCAAAAGCGACAGGCCGAATATGACCATGAACCACAGGATGATGTTGAAAATGACTGGATAATCTTCGTTATAGTAGACGGCGAAATTGTATTTGTTATCGTCATCGGCTGCGACAGTTTCGCGCTTGTAACGGGAATTGGTTTCCTTGTCCGTAGATAGAACGAAGAGCACCGAGTCGCTGGACTTTTGTGCGGCAGCCAGAAGACGACTGATGGCAACAGAGATTAGCTTGTTTGCTTCGTCCACAGCAAGAGACTTCTCTCCGTGCGCCTTGGCAATGCCGTCGACAGACAGGCGAATGAGCAAAACGTTGGACGGTTTCAACATCTCGGCCAAGTTCTCGGAGGCGGCATTGATGAAACCAATTTCCTGCAGGAACTGCTTGTCAGCATTGTGCAACGTGGGGTTCAGGTGCTTGGTAGGCTTAGCAGCAGGCGTCTCGAATTCACCAAAGCATGCCTTGAAGGCTTGTACCTTAAAAAGAAAATATAATTGATTAGATAAGTTTTGGCCGTGAGCTACGCGAACTTACGCCCTCATCGTATTGGTCGAAGTTAATATCGCAGACGGGCTCGTTGGCTGCCTCCAGCTCAGCGGCCAGTGCATTGAGCGAATGTCCAGTATTGGAGCCAACCAGTTCATAGGATTTTACATTGCCTGTCGTTGTCACATGGCTAAGGCCCTCCACATGCACGGCAATAACGCCCTTGGCCAAATTGAAGGGATCGTTGATGGTCAGGCCAGTCCAATCAGAATCGCCAACGACGGAGTTGCCCATGGAGGCATATAGCACATCGCCGATATCGCGACTGTTCAGGGGATCAGTGCCCTTGAAGCTAATCGCCTTGGGGCTGTTCAGCACGGTGAACTCGCCAGCGGCATGGACTGCAGAATATTTTTAACAAGTTTAGTTTCTATTTTAATACACTTAGTTAAATATTGAAATAGATCCAAGTGGGACCTTTACGATTCTGCGCAACCAGCAGTCAATGGGGCTCTTTCAGCCACCTCCACCCTGATTAGCAGAATCGATGCGAGTTTGGATTACAGAATTTACACAATTCAAACACATCTCAGAACGAGTAAACATTTTACAATTAATATTTGAATAGATTTACTTACTTGCTGCTATACATAGGGAAAAAACGAGTACGTTTTGCAACATTTTCATTTTTCTGCCAGCCTTTTAATCATATGACGAACAACTGCACAGAGAAAAACCTACTACGCTCTGACTGTCATGTGATGGGTAGAAGAAGTAGTTGCTATCGAAAGTGGCCCATCTCTAATGGCCAGGGCTGTCATGGCTTTGTAGCAAGAAATGTCAAATATGGTGACGTCACAAACAAAGCACCAGACGTGATATACCAGATATATAAAAGTATTACTGTATTACAGTTATGCAATGGTATTCACTATAATTATATATAAGCACTAAACACACATACAGCGATATAAAGCATCGGTTGCATTTATATCGATGAAATATGGTATAAATTATTGGCAGTGCATTTTCGGTATTTTGGTATTTTTGTATTTTACAGTGACGGTCACAAGTTTTTGTTGTGTTTTTGCATTTGTTTTTGCAAAATCAACAAAAAAGTGTGTGAAAACCACACAATTTTGCTGAATTTTAAATATGTTATGGTCCCTGGAACAGGTTGAGGGCATGCTAAGTGTCCTCAAAACCTCGACGGACAAAACTGTTGTTTATAAATGCCTCGTAAAATTTCGCACAGATTTGATCAAAAGTAAAGATGGAATTGTGTTATTTCGAACTGCAGGGGGTGTTCCAGTAATGGTTCGCCTGATTAGCAAATTGAATGAAAAGATAATGGAAGTAGTACTGAGCATATTGGGCAACTGCTGCACCGATGATCAGTCCTGCGTAGAGGTGAGTAGCATAATATCTAAAACGAATTATGAGTAATAATTTAATTTGTCTCCAACAGGCTGTGGATTGTAAGGTCATTAGCCCTTTGATAACCATATTGAAGACCATTCCCAATCCAATAATACAGTGCCGGGCCTGTCGCATGCTTGGCAACATGGCCAAAAATAAGAAAGCGTCGTCCTTTTTAAATGTTCACTATGGAGCCATAGCGCCAGCCATTTGCCATATCATCGAGTCAACGAGCGCCGTTCAAACGAAAATAATGGCCTTTCGTGTCTGTCGAAACTTGCTGGTCAGCCCTCAGTTCTATAAACCGTTTTTAGCCTCCAATGGCTTCCTGCAGCTGATGCACATTTTTGTGGCGGTCATGAAGAACAATGAGGCGCCCAAGGCTTCGGAGCAGAATGCCGTCGATGTCTCAGCTTTAGTTGGCCTCAAGCGAAATCAGCACCGGGAGAAATATTTCGAGGAGGTTGCACGCAATCTGGAAGGTGTACGCAGCGACATCTTCGACTATCAAATGCTAAAGAACTCGACGCGGAACTGCGAGTACGTGTTGCCCAAGGAGAATGATGCCATCGAGCTGGCCTACGAGATCCTGAAGTGTCTCTTGCTGCTCTCGGCTCAGCAAATTGGCATGAAAGCCTGGGAGGTTCGTATGGAGAGTTTGATATTATGCTTATTGCCTATCTTAATCCATTTCTATATATTCTAGGTGCTTTCACGCAACACTTCTCTGGCACCTATTGTCTATTTCGTGAAGGAAGATAGTGAGCAACGCGCCTCGGCCCTTAAGATTCTATCGAACTTCTGCAAGGATCCCTATGCATTCTATATGCTCAGTACTGCCGACGCCATTGTGGCTGCCTGTGAGCTGCTCATGGCCGTCAATATGGCCAAGCCGCTGTCGGAGAGCGAGAGTCGACATTGCGTGAATATTATAGCAACACTGTCGGTGGATGCCTGCAGTCGCTCCAAGATACGGCGCTGCGGTGCACTACGCAAGCTGGTGGCCATGATACGGGACTCACATTCACAGAGCGAGCGTTCATCTGTATGTTGAATAACCGTTTATATACTCATATCTTTACTATAATATTTTCTTCTAGCTCTTTCACATTCTGAACAACTTTCAATACGATAATCTGAGTATGGAAATGCTGCTGTATGAGGGTCTGGTGCCAATGCTGGTGCGTGAGCTAAATGATTATCTGACCAGTGATGAGGAGTATCATAAGCGACGGCGGGAGGAGCGTATACAGGGTGGCAAAAAACGAAAGTTAACTGATCCCACAACACCAGAAACTCTCAGCAAGGTATAAGAAATATATATTTGTATATATTCATTAAGCACTCAGCTTCATGACCATTTCTGTGTCAGTTCTCGAAAACCCAGGAGCCACTCAACTTGGACTTTGACTCACCCAGTAGCTCGCCGCGCTCTTATCGCACCACCAGTCCGTGCAGCTCGCGCAGCATGTCGCCCGTTTGCTCCAATCTCTTTGCCAACGATGACGACGAGAACTATTCGCCCGCCTGCAGTGACGACGATGACGACGAGGACGATAGCAAGGCGAGCAGTGGCAATATGGATACACGCGAATCTCGCATAGCTTCGAATCGTGCACAGCCGGCCAATGTCATGGACATACTTAAGCTCATCGATGAGGGCAGCGAAACAATTGACGACACCTTGTCCGACAAGGAGGACATGGAAGAGCTTAGCTCTGATGTGCCGCCCAAGCTCGCTCAGCTGCGCAGTCAAGCAGGCGACACCATCGACATCATTGAGAATCTAATTTACCGCATTACGCTGATGATCAATAAGCGTCCGGAGCTGGGCAAGCCGGAAACACTGGACACCCTAATACGAGCCATCAATCTCTTTGGAGCCAACAATAATTTTGCCAATGCGTTGACCAATATATTGCTGTAAGTTTGAATGTTGTCTAAATGCTGAAATGATTCGGTAATCCTTTAAATCTTTCTACAGCGAAAGCCAGTTCTTTGCCCAGATCATCAAGCATGGCGTTGTGCATCAGCTTTATCAACTGACCAAAGTGGAGGAGGTATTAGCGAATTGAGTTATTCTTAGCGAATTGAGTTATTCTCACGAACAAACCCATTCCGATCCCTACTCCATTTTTCCGGTAATCTCATCTAAATGATCTTGCAGATGCGCAAGGATGGCTTTGCTTTTCTGGAGACGCTCACGAATGTGGGTGAATCCAACTATGGCAAGGAGGAGCTGGTGCGACTGCTGCGCTGCGAATCGGATTTGAATGCACAGCAACGGGCGGCCATATCCGTGGCGTACATCATTAAAAGCCACCGGCTGCTCTATCAGTTCTTGTATGACGGCAACGCGCTGACTCTGCTCTTCGACTTGCTGCTGCGCAAGAAGAGCGACAATTTGTATGCAGACGAGGCGGCGGATGCTGTGACGGCCATGTCACGCTTTACGCTGGGCATTGTGCTGCCCAAGCCGGAGCAGGTGGACAGCAGCAGCAGCATCTGTTTAAAYCAGATGAACGCCACAAATATACCACTGCATGAGCATTGTGATATGCGGTTTCTACTGGCCAGCGAGAATGTAGATGGAAAGGATGCGGAAAGCCGGACGACGCTCAGCATTGGCTTCAACAAGCAGCTGCTGTGTGAGACCAGCGAGGTGTTCAACAAGATGCTCAATAGCGACTTCCGCGAGGGCCACGACGGCGAGATCCAGCTGCGCGATTATACGGCCAACGGATTGAGGTATTTCCTCCACTTAATTAGCTGCCAGGAGAGGCATCTGGTTATGCCGGACTATGACGCCCTGTTGCAGGCTTTCGAGATGTCGCGAGTGTACATAATACCGGAGCTGGAGGCGCTGCTGCACGAGCGGCTAATACAGTTCCTGGACTCGCGCAATTGCCTGCGCTTGCTGGAGTGGGCCCTGAAGAACTACCATGCGGAGCTCACCGAAACAGCGATCAGCTATTATCTGTGCGCCTCGCTGCCGGCCCAGGATAAGCTGCAGCTGTTCCGAGCTGCCGAGGACTCAGTCTATGCCAGCGAATGGTTCCAGCTGCTCAACGATGCAGTCTACGAGAGATGTCGCAGCACCGGCTATTAGCTACTTAAGATTGATGCCCGACCTGCCAACTATTAATGTGATTGTCTTTGTGTGTCTATGTATTTGTAATGTCTAGGAAAGTAATGGGAGCTTGTGCCAAATCCAAACAGTTTCTATTTAAAGACCCAGCCAACTTAAGAATTAGCTACAATATTATTACTAGGAATAATAAACTATTTAAACCTAACTGCGCTGCGCGGACTCGAAGCTGGGCATGGCACAGAACCGGAGCACCAGCCAATCCGTCAAGGGAGTTGGCGTCAGCTTGAAGAGCCAACGGTAGACCTTATAGCGCCAGGGCTCGTGTATGTACAGCGTCTTCGGCTGAGCATTAGTCAGCGCATCCTTGAACTTCGCCAGCAGTGCCTCGTCCTGGAGCTGATTGGGTTTCTTGAATCCGCTCAGCATGCTCAGGTACTCGTGGAATACCTTGAAGTAGCTTCCATAGTAGGCCAGCTGCTCCGCGCTGAATGCCTCCAACTGCTGCTGTGCCTGCTGTTGCTGGCGTGCGGCGATGTTGCTCTCCAGCACAAAGGAACCGGGCACAAAGTTGATCACCTCCATGCCATGCGGCTGCAGCTCGATGCGCAGTGCATCGTTCCAAACCCGCAGCGCGGCCTTAGTGGCAGCATACGGTGCCAGAGCGGGCAGCGCCTGGAAGCCACAGTGGCTAGTCACGTTGATGATGCGCGCTCGCTGCTGGCGCAGCAGCGGCAACAGTTGCCTGGTCAGACGCATGGTGCCCAGCAGATTGCAGTTGAGCTGATGCTCGATTTGCGCCGGCAGCTGCCATTCGAATTCGCCGAAGCACATGACGCCCGCATTGTTGACCAGCGCCATCAGCTGGCAGTCCGAGCTGGCCAAGAGCTGCTCAAGTTTGGCATGTAGCTGCACTATAGACTCCGGCTCCAGCAGATCTAGCTGCCAGGTGTGCATGCGTCGTCGCTCATTCTCGCTGCTCATCTGCTGCAGCAGCTGGGCGCCCTGCGATTCCAAGTTGTGGCAGCAGGAGATGACTGTCATATGCAGCGCCCTATAGCAGTAGACAGCCAGAGAGTGGCTGCATCGAAATATATATAGAAATAATGTATATATATTTATTATATATGTATGCACGAGGTCAGCTTACCCCAAGCCCGAGTCGCAGCCCGTCACCAGCACCACTTGATGTGGCCCAACGCTCAGCTGGCGTCGACCCATGCCCAGGCAGCGCTTCAGGGCGCTCAGCAGTTGATTGCGGCTGCCCATATCGGCGGTTCCAGATAAACTGACGAAAAAACTCCCAGCAAAATATAAAATCAAGAGGAAAGAACGAATAAAATATAAACATGCAAAGCGAACCCGAAATTTTAATTCATCTCATACATATATGCACTTCTGTATGTATGCGCCGGCATTATCTGTAGCTCAGCAATATATATGTGTATGTATGTATAAATATATTTCAGTATAACACACTTATACATAGACCCATCTGCTTGCGACTTGCTTCTTTAAAGTCTTACCTGCGCATTAGGCTGTTGCCAAAAAAAATAAATAAAAAAGGAAAGAAAAGAATAAAAAACCCTAGTCATAGCACCTCAGCTGGTTTGCACACTCAAATATCTTTTTTATAATTATATTATTTTTATTGGGCATTTTTATATTGTTTCAGAGATATACAAACATATACTCAATGTTAAATCATCATCTGAGATTAATTATTTTTTATTTTATTTCTCTTTGTAATAAATTAAAAATTTATTTATACACACTCAATATCTCCATATCCAGTTTAAGTCAGTATCCAGTTCTATGGAAGTATAGCTGAATTTTAATACCCACCCACAATCTTCTGGCACATTTCATAAAAAACAGCCTTGGAGATCTTTGCCATATTAGCTAAGGCCGCACTCGTATATCTGCTACTATATCTGAGCTATGCCGAAATACTTTACCTTTCTTATTCACTTTTCTGGTCCAGCCTAATTTACCTGAGATATTTCAATGTGCGCTGAGCCAGCGTTTTTGTAATCTTATGCGATTTCAATTGTTTCAGACACATCCGTTCCGGCAGGTAGAATTCATACCTTGATCTTGAACTCTCCCTGCCCCTCTCACTCTCTTTTAGATAAAGAAGTCAATTTGCTTTTAAGGTTGTTCTGTTTTATATTTTATTTCTCTTACACAATTTTGGTTGTATTGCTTCATTTGGGAAGTGCATTCAATTTTCTGTTTCTGTTTACAATTTTGTGATTTTCTGTAAGTTAAAAGAATTCGCTTATTGCAGGGAGTTTTCAGTTTCAGGGGAATTTACTCGTAAGGCTATATCAAATATGTTTGCCTGATTTGCATTTGCTCGTATTTATAATCAAATATATATCTATATAAATGTATATATATATTTTTTTTTTTTATTGCGTAATACACATAATTACATATTAAATAATTGCTTTGCGTTTTGTTTTGTCATTTCTTATAAATTGTATTTGAAAATAGAGCGCATTTTGCGTTTAGTAAAAATATATTTGGGTTTTTTATGTTTGTTTTTTCTTTGTTGTTGTGTTTTTGTTTTTCTACTGTGCCTTAAGTCTTAAATAGTATAAAGTTTATAGTATATATATAGTAATTCAAATTCTCATTTTTCTCTCATTCGCAAACTATATTTATATCATTTGTTTCATATTCCCTATTTACTTTTTATCAAGGCAACGTATTTAGTATTTTGTATTTTAAAAGTGGTATTTTGTTTTGTGTTTCGTTATTTTATTTATTAATGTTTAAATGTACAATTTTAAAACCGGCATAGTTCGTTTCATTACACGCTCTGTTAATGCTTTCTTTATATGATTTATTTTTAGTTAATTTATTTATTTATTTACTCTTTTGTTTTGTTTAACTTGTTAATAATAAATATCACAACGCATCCTTCATATACAACAAACATTCTTTGCCAAACTCAACTTCAATCCTTACTTAAAGCATTTTTACATTTCGTTCAAATGTTTTAGGCATTCTTTAAATATATATGTATATATATACTTATGTATATATTTCTATGTATGTATATTTTTTGAAAACACACGCAAATCAAAATGGTTGAAAAAATTGCACAAAAAATACAAGTATAGTATATACATATATATATGTATGTGTGTATATATATGCATGTATATTCTATATGGTATATAAGTAGTTATAGATAATTGATAGCAAATCATAAATTAAACATAATAAAGATAATAATACAAAAGCAGTTATATATGTAACGGGGGGAAAAAACAATGTAAAATATTAAATAAGGCAGCCAGGCACACCCCAAGACTGGGGGCGTGGCAGCCGGGCTACAATAAACATAATCGTCGTTACAAAACAAGAGAAAACATTGCGTAAAAATCTTAATTAATTAGCGTTCGTTAAATGTAAACGTTAATTTATGTATATGAACATTAACATAGCTGTTGCCACATGTGACATGTTGCATGCTGCATGTTGCATGCTGCATGCTGGATGCACGCATTCGACTAACGGTTATATGTTTGACTTGCTTTCGTGGCATTCAGCATTGACGCATTAAACTAAATGTAATGTTTGACTCTACTTATGATAATTTGCATATGCACATAAATGGTTGCCACATGTGGCACGTTGCACGCTGCACACACGCATTAAACTAAATGTAATGTTTGACTGTCGCTAGTGAGGCGCGCCACCGCCACGCACCCTACACTGGTTATAAGCTAACCAGCTTGGACGGCTCACTTGTGGGCGTTGGCAGCTCCAGCGGATGCTTGTTCTGGGAGGAGCAGGTGGGCATTAGCGGCCCAGAGACGGGCGTTAGTCCGGTGCCGCCATCCATCAGCGAATCGAAATTGAAGGTGCCCGTCGAGGGCGTCTGAATGGGCACGCCCTGGATCTGTGTGGGCGGCGCCTTGCCATCGCCAGCGGCAGCAGCGACGCCAAACGGACGCTGCGCATTCACATTGAGCGTATTGGGACGCGGCTTGGGCAGCTTGTTCAGCGCATTTGCATTCAGAGTGGGACTGCTGATGGCGCTGCTGAAGTGCGCAAAGCTGGACGGTGCCGTGCTCGAAATGGGCGTGTTCAATGAGGCGCCAGCGGCCGGGCCCGTGGGCGTTTGCAGAGATGCATTGAATGTGGCAATGTTGGGCAGCGCAAAGCGTTTGGCCGGCGTCGGTCCATCCTGGTCCAGCGATGAGCCCGAATCGATGGCACCGTCCTGCGGCTCGTGCTTGATGTGCTGCAGCAGCTGCTCATCTATGAGCACCGGCTTGAGATCCAGCGGTGAATTGCTGCGTCCGGTCGAATTGAGCGTGGCATCGAAGCCGGTGATGGTGCCGTTGCTGCTGTCATTGCTGTTGCTGTTGTTGTTGCTATTGTTGCTGTTGTGGAGGCTGACGCTGCTGGTGTTGCAGGCATTGAGCAGCGTGGAGGGCCCAATCAAGCCATTGCACGTGGCCACGGTGAGTAGATCGTCGCGCACCTTCTGGCATGTGGAACTGTGTGCCTGGAGCACGCACTCCAAGTGACACTTGGTCGCAGTCAAACTCTCAATCTCCTTCTTCAGATCCTCGCTCTTCTTCATCAGCGCATCGACCTCCTCGGTTAGCTCATTGGTCTGATCGACGCGACGCTTGCGACAGCGCGCGGCCGCCAGCTTGTTGCGTTCACGTCGAATGCGGCGCTTCTCCTCCTCCTCCGGGGACATGTTGGCCGCCTTGTTCGGACGACGTCCGCCGCCGCGACGCGCCGGCGTGGCACTGTTTGAGGTAGTTGAATTGGCCGCAAGGCCCGAGCCGCGTCCACTAGTGTTGACACCCGACAGGGCAGCCGAGAAGTTATTGACCCCGCCATTGGAGCCGTTGCCCATCATATGGCCGCCATTCTGATAAGAGGTGCTGTCTGTCGCGGCACTAGCTGCAATCGAAAGATAGTTAGAGATTAGTCAAGCTGTACATTTAGCTGTTGCCGCTGCACACGGGCCACTCACAAGTATCTGTTGTGCTTTGGTCGTCGTTCAGCTGTCCCTCGTTCCACGAGCCATTGGACTCCTCCGTATCACTGCCGGGCACACTGCCAGCACAGTTCAGGGCAATCAAATCGAATTGCGGATTCGTATTGATCAGATTCGCATTGATCCCCGGCAATGTGGCGCCGCCAGCCGTTGTGGACGTGATCGTGTTGTTGTTCGTTACGTTGCCCAGGGATGTGAGCGGCGGCGGCTTGAAGCCCGCCTGGAAAGGCACATGCAAGTCCGTTGTGGTCAGCTCATAGATCGTGTCCTCAATGGTGCGCAGCGTGGTCGGCGTCAGCGTTGGCGTTGTCAGCGTCGGTGCACTCTGCATGCCATCAAATGTAACGAGCTGCAAGAGAACGAGGGAATTTCAATTAATACATGATAATTCATTATTTGTAGTATACGAAAAGTACTAATTATATTCGGCCCACAAAAAAAAGTGATCGATATTTCTCGAAGAACACCTAAAGTACATTTTAACAACAATCATCGATTATTATCGATAGCAAGGTGAACTCATTTCCCATCTCACGTGAAAAATAATGTACAAATAATCATGTTCAAACATAAATACGCATTCAATACATATATCGATATATTAATAATCGATATACACAGCAAATAGTTCGTGTGACCATAATAATGCAAATAAGCAGTTACACAGGAGTTTTGATGACCCTGGGCTATTGGCACGCCTATTTCAGTCAGTTCGATAATTTATCGCTTGTTATCGAGCTATCGTACCTGCTGCATAAAAAGCTCATTAGCCAAAAAATTTGCAATTTCATTGGCACTATCCAATGTTAATTTATCGCCAATTGTTGTTGCTACTGTTGGCAGCTGTTGTTGTTGCTGCTGCTGCTGATGTTGTTGTTGTTGCTGCTGCGACTGTTGTTGTTGTTGCGACTGTTGCTGTTGTTGATTATAATTAATATGCGCAAAATTATTGCTGTATTGTTGTTGCTGTCGCTGCTGTTGTTGCTGTTGCTGTTGCTGTCGTTGCTGCTGGCTTAAAAAGCTTTGCATTTGGCACATGGCTGCCATCGCGGCTGTCGCAGTGTTGGCGTTGGCGGCGTTGGCGTGGCTATTGCCGTTAGCATTCACAGCAGCAACTGTTGTTGCGTGCATATTGCTGCGCGCCATGTTGGCGTTGTTGTTGGCGTTGTTGTTGCTGTTGTTGTTATGACCATATGATTGCTTTGCATTTTGTTGCTGGTAGGCTGACTGCGTGGGCTGTTGCTGACGTAACAATTGCTGTTGCTGTTGCTGCTGCTGTTGTTGTTGTTGCTGTTGCAGCTGCTGCTGATAGTGCTGTTGTTGATTGTACTGCAATTGTTGCTGCTGCAGCTGGTTGTATTGTGCTGCATAGGGCAGCTGTAGCTGTTGCTGTTGCAAATGTTGCTGCTGCTGTTGTTGCTGCTGGTGCAGTTGCTGATGCTGCAACTGTTGCTGATAATAGGGCTGGTAGCACGCATTATGCGCTCTACCATTGAGATTTTTCATCATGACGCGCGTGGCTTATAGACTAGTGTGTTTCGCTTAATAAATATCAAGTATACGTATCAAATATAACGCATACGCACAGTTAACTAAATATTGATTGGCTCTTTTTCGTTTTCTTTTTGTGACTAGCTTTTGTAAATTCGTATTGGCTTCTGGTCGTTTAACAATATAAGTGAACAACAAACAATATGTGTATAAATAAACTATATATACTTAATTTAAAAAACTAACAACAGCTGTTGCTGGCGAATTTTCTGTGTGTTAAATTAAATATTTACAGCGAACTTTTCTTGGAAAAGCTTTCAATTGTAATGATGTTGTCGTTCTTGTTGTGGTTGTTGTTGTAGTCGTTGCTCTTGAGTTGTTGGGCGCCAAAAGATATATATATATCTATCATATATATATATATAGTTCGTTCGTTTCGCGTTTTGGCTTTTACGTTTGCCTTTCGTTTAGTTATTTGTTCGTTCGTTTTGGACTTTAAATTCGTCGTTGTTGTTGTTGCTGTTGCTGCTGCTGTTATCTTAGCCTCTTTCCGGCGGCTTGAGACGCGCCACCAGCAGCGTTTGCCAATTTCGCAAGGGTTCGAAATTTAAGTTCAACTCGGCCAATGCAAACATAATAAATTTAATTATCAAACTACAAATAGCACGTGTTGACAACGTTTTTTTTTCTTTTTTTTTTTTGCTTTCTTTCTTCTTTCAAACAGTAATTACAAAAAATAATAAACAATTATAATTAATAACAGTTTACAAAAGAAAAACTGCTCTTAATTGCAGCCAAATTGCGCGTGTTATATAATTGTGTTGTTGTTGTTGTTGCTGTTGTACATACATAAAGAGCTTCATATATATATATATATTCATATGTATTTATATTTATATATCTATGTACTATACGCTAGGTACATCTGTGTATTATTCTATATGTATTTCGATTATGTTTTAATTATCGCTTTGCACACTTCTTTGCATGGGCCACGCCTCTATATGAACTTTATYGTGTGCATATATATGTATGTATATATATATAGTAGTATATACATATGCGGCATGCAGCGCAAAGAATTTGTTGTTTTCCTTTTCCTTCAGCTTTTGCTTTCCTTGTTTCTCTTAATTCTTAATTTCCATTCGTTGTTTCAAATTCGTTTTGGCAATTGCACGCGCTGCGAAAAACACACCAAATTTTTCTATTTCTTTTATTTTTGCAATTTCGTTTTTCTTTTGTTGCTTTTCGAAATTTATTTTCGTAGTTGTTGTATTTTAATTTCTATTTTATTTTTGTTTTTTTGTTCGTTCGAGGGGCAGCGCGCGCGCGCGATCGCAGCAAAAGTTTTTCCTTTTGCGTTTGAAATTCAAAAAGAATTCTCAACTTCGATGGTTCGTTGTTCGTTTGCGACTGAGCGAAAGAAATTCAAATTGGCAGAAACGATTCTTTGAGATTTGGATACAGATGCAAAGAGAGAGAGTGTGTGTGTCGAATGTGTGTGTGTGTGTCTGTGTGAGCGTTGTTATTCTCTCGAGTGAGTAAATTAGACGACAACAACAACAGCAATAATAGCGTTTAGCAGCTAAGCAAATCGAATAAATTTCAAATGTGCCTGCTCTTAATTGAGGCAGCAACCCACACGAACAACAACAACAACAACAACATCAGCAACAGCAACAGCAAGAAGAAGCAACCAAGCAGCCCACGCCAACAGCAGCAACAGTTGCTGCCATAAGTTTTGCTATAAACAATTCCTCAACTAATTTGATTTCCCATAAATTTTAAGGATCTGAACAAGCTTTCAAGTGAAAGTGAAATATGTTTTGCAAATATGTTGCAGCACTCAAGCAGCAACAGTTGCTGGCATTAGTTATGCTATAAACTTTGGAGACTCTCATAAGAGATTGCTCATGTTAAGTTAGCCAAAAATCTTAGCAAATTCGACATATACAATTTTAGTATTTTTATTATATACTACAAAAGATACTGAACTCAGTTGAAATAAGTTGAAGGTTAAGTCTCCACACTTCTCAACATTAGAACACATTTATAGCAACTCTAATTGCGTTTTGGTGCCAGCCTAGGGCATTTGACTTAAACGCTTCGAGCTGCCATTAATAAACAGCTAATATAACTCAATACGCCTCCTTCAGGCTGTCAGCCGGCAGCATTTAGCAAGAGTTATGACAGCCTCGCGCCTGCAGGGCGAGTGTGTGTGCGCGTCTGTTTGTTTTCTTTCGTATTTATAGCAATCAGCGCTGTCACAGCTCCCAGATGAAATCAAAGAAACGGAACACAAGCCAGATGCGAATGCGTGTGCCGTCGTCAGATTGGCTGAGAGCAGGTGCCTTGTCAGCCCCAATGAACAATAACAATTATTGTACTTTCAGATATGTCTATGAATAAATAGTGACCAGTGGCTCTCGCTCTATCTCTCCCCTTTTCTATCTCTCTCCCTCTCTCTCTCTCTCTCTGGCTAATTGACAACTTCTAGTGTTGCCCAACACTGAAAGCAGCTCATTTCACGTGGTTATTTGATTTGCTTTATTGCACATTTTGTACAATAAATTTTGCATAATAAATATTATCGTGGGGCATTGATCCTTTGACTTATCTCTCGGCATTTCCTTCAACTCGTTTATTTGCGAGCCAACAATAAAATTTATTCATTGTGTTTTTGTTGACTTTGGGTCTTTTTTTTTTATTTTTGAAGTAAACCGCTTGTTTTTGTTTGCATAAATGTTTAAACATTTGCGACTTTCGTTTTAACCCACTTTCCCAAAGTGACAAAGATTTTGTTGTTTTTTTTTTTTTTTTCGTTTTGGAATATTGCATAAAAAGCAAACAGAAATAAATTGAAAATTTAGTGAACGCAAATGTTGTCTGTCTTATTTTCCTTTTTTTTCACTTTTCGCAGAACCCATTTGCAGATGAATCAGCCAATTTACTTGAATTAAAAATATATAATAATAACAATAATATACATAGTATGGAGCTCTCGCCGTAATCGTAATTGTCTAAATTGAAACGAGCTTGCTCGACGCAGCGAAAAACTATTCTTATCAGGGCGACGGTGCCGAAGTTCAGGTCGGAGGGGTCAATTGAGCGAGAGGCGAGTGGAAATAAAACCACACGCTGACGTCGCAAATACCCTCGAATATGTGCATAAAGTTGGGTGTATTAGTGGTACTCTTTCAACATACAGATAGAAAGGGGCATAGAGATAATGAGAATGAGAGCATAATTAGAGAGAGAGAGATAGCAAGATAATGAGACTGATAGAGTGTGGGAGCAGGCACTAATTAAATAATTAGCTAATGGAATACCAAATGACAAGAGTGAGAGGGGGACTGAGAAGAGAGGTCTTGAGAAAGGTTCAATATATAGAATATAATATTGACTTAAACTTGAACTCATTCAGATTTTTTAACTGTTCCCATACTACCTCCCAAATGCTCACTCAATCTACAGGGTATCCCTTGGTCTCACAGTGAGCTAGACTGCTCAATATACGCGCACTCAATTCGCTGACTAATGCGACGATTGACGAAGTTGACTACTACAAAATTTGATTACATGGGCGCGCTTGATAAGCGAATGTAAGTCAACTAAACGCAGACTGAGTAGCTACAGTAATTACTGGCTAGTGCAAACACTGCAAGTGCAGACAATAATTAAAGCAACATTTAGCAATTTAATAATATATTATTCAACAATTGACAATGTGATTTATGTTGAGTTCTCGGGCGAAAGTTGAAGTGCCCTTGAAATTAATTAGTTCACTTGAAATGAATTCGCACTGTGCTTATGTTTATATTTGACAAATACGCGGCGAATTGAGGGCTTAAGAAGGCG